TCACAAAAACCAAAAATGGAACAAAAAGAAACAAAAGGCTCAAGAATCTAAAGATGTGGCTTGAAAAGAAGGGAAAAGGCTCAAATGGTTAGCAAATAGGCAAATGTAAACCCAAAAACTAAAAATGAAACAAACTATCCTAGAAAAGAAAAATTACCACCCCGAAAAGATGCCTTTGTCCTCCCTAAATGGTTCGGTCTCGGTCTTAAGAAATATGAGTCAAGATTCTAGATAAGGTCCGCAATAGTCAAGGATCCATGTCGCTCATGCAAATAAGTGTAGAAGGCTTGAAAAACAAAGAACCTCACACGGATGTAGCAAAAACTCACTATTGGTGTCAAATCGACTATAGGAAGCAACTACCAAACATGCCACAAACAAGTAGAATCCGGCTTCATGTTCCCACTAGTTCTAACCAACTACCTTAGCATGCTTTATCCTAGAATCAACCAAGCATACTCTCAAACCGTGCACACCGTTACCATTTAAGAAGAATAGAATTCAATTATACAAGTCCAAATGTTATTATGTCCAAAGCAAGAACAAAACAAAACACATTGCAAATTTGCCTTGATAAAAACAAAAATCTTTTTGGAGTTTTTCAAAATATAAGAAACATGGAAAAGCCTATACAAGGGTGCTTAGCATATATGAATCAACATCCCACCAAACATGATAGAATACCCTCCCCCAAGCTTGAATGAGATAATACACTCAAATCATAAAGCATGGAAACTATGGGAGGGGAAAACAAGGAGATCAATCCAACAAACCAACATATGTCCAACAAGTCATCATCTACTAGAGAAAGAGCAAGGAATGATATTACCGGATATTAGGTGGGTGTAAATACCCGCAAATGACCCAATTAAACCTTTCAAAGCTAACAACCTCTAATATTGAATTTTGCCTTCCATATGCTAGCAATTGTGATGTCAATCTTCTTTGATTATTGATCCAAACCAATGCATCAAAGTATATCAAGTCATGTACCTAGAAAAAGGCACACAAAAATTTCCATGAGAAAAAAAAAACTATTCTAAAAAGAAAAGGAAAAACTAATCTAAAACACGGTTTACTTCCCGAGAAAGGCTTGCTTAAGGTCCAAGCTTGACCGCTCTAGTAAAATAATAATTCAACGCACGCAAGAGCTTCTCAAATGCACCACTACACATTTCATAAGAAAGCAAGTATGCACATGACAAAAATAAGGCATGCGACAAGCATAGTGCACACCTATGAGGAGAGAGTTGCCAAGAGAAAGAAGAAAAATCAAAAGTAAACTCAACAAAATAATAAGAAAAAGAAAAAGAAAAAGAAGAAGAAGAAGAAAAAGAAGGCAAACTCTCCTCAAAATATTTTTGGGTGGCAACATCACCCTTTTCCTCAATTGGAGACAAATGAGCCTCATACAAATCATCATAGACAAGGGGGTCCCTAATAGGCTCACTAACAAAGGAAGGGAGAAAAATAGGGCAATAGGGGATGTGGTTAAACTTTTGAGAGAGAAGGGTATGAGAAATAGGCAAAGGGGTAGCTACTCCCTCAACATAAGGTTCCATATCGCCAATGAAGGCATGAAAATCAATCATAGAGTCCTCAAAAGAGGAACACTCATGATCACCATCTCCCTCAAACATCCAACTCCCAAGAGGAACCACATAATCTCCTCCACTACCTTCATGAACAACAACTCCCTCAACTTCCTTAAAGCCTAGAGTCTCAAAACCATGCATGAATGGATGCAAGTATAACTCAAAATCATCTCTCTCCCATGAATCATCCTCAATGAACTTGCTTAAAAGGCTATGGTTATTCCTTATACACTCAATAAACACATTTGACATACCCTAAAACGAGTACAAATACTCATGGATAAGAAGAGTCACATTCATACACTTGAGACTCATCACAATCAACAAAGGAAGAGATGTCTAGACTTAAAATATCATCAAAATCATTATCACTCTCGACTCTCTCTCCTTCACTCATATGCTCAACAATAGGATCCTCACACACTCTTGGTTGCTCGAAATTACCACCATCACCCTCAACAAACACATTGGATTTGAAATTTTCCCACACAAGTGTCAAAGATGACAATTGGCTTTCTAGCTTTTCATTTCTCCTCTTTCCCTCCTCAAGACGCTCCTCACTCTTTTTCATCACCTCTAATTGACTTTTCATAGAATTAAGAATCGACTCCTTTTTAGGCCCAAGATCGTCACTAAGCTCAACATGCCTAATTTAAGTTTCTAAAGTAGCAATAAGAGATTCAAAAGGTGTAGAGGATTGAGGCTCAACAAGAGATGAAGAAGTACAACCAATGGTAGGATCATCATCATTACAAACATGAGCATTTTCATTAAATAGGGGATTGGGAGCATTTTCAAACGTATGAGATTTGTTAGCTTGAACATGCAACACATTATCATGAACAAAAGAGGAAATAGAATTGGAAGCATTTGTTCTAGGTTCAACTATGGGATCATATGACACATCATGGTAAATCATGCTAACATTGGAAGAATTAACACATTGCACATCAAAAATAGAAGCATGCTTACCCTTATTATAGACTTCCCAAGCAAACCAAACATAAAATTTCCAAGCATCTTCAATAGAAAATGCTCTAAATTTACCATTATGCATTCCTTCAACTATATCCCTAGTTTGCTCATTCAAACCAATATAACAAATCTCACAAGCCTCCCAAAGACTACACCGATTATAGTCAAGAAATCCCTTAAGTCTATTGAAATATTCACAAAAAGGTTCATCATCATATTGAGGAAATGAGAGACACGCCATTTTTACAAAGCAAACAAAAATCAAATAAAAGAAAAGTATAAACAAAGACCTAGACTCAAGCAATCAAAAACACTCAAACATATACACCGTTCCCCGGCAACGGCGCCATTTTGACGTGGGGTGAACTAGGTCGTTGGACTAATCCTCCCTAAGCCAAACAAAATTCATAAACACTTAACTAACCTAAATACAATTATAGAGGTAAGTCAAGGGTCGAACCCAACGGTAATGTCTAAGTGCTTTCAATTTGGGTGCCTAAGCTAGGTCGAAGACGAAGGAAATGAGGTGACACTAACAACTACTTAAACGAAGAAACCAAACAAATAAAGTGCTAGGGATTAGGATTCACATATAATAGCAATGAACATAACAAATTGGTTTAGGAAGTTGACTAAGTCGAGTGATGTGAGGGAAAACCAATTATGCAACCAAAAGAGCATATCAAGCTATTCTCCTAGAGGTCTAACTAGCGTCAACTACGATAAACTCTAGCTAGGAAACATCACAAGACACCTCAATCGTGTAAATGCAAGCCACAAATCAATGGTCCGTATCAATGTGAACCTAAAATGCAATCTAGTGTGAATAACTAGGGTGATCAAGCCTAAATCAAACACACACATGCACATAATCAATTAAACAATTTAATCTCATCATCAACTCCATCAATTATCCCCAATTTACATCAATTCATCACATCATATAAGCTTCACCCTATCCCTAGCCAAACAACTACTGTAACAACATCATCAAATCAACAACTAAAGAAATCAAGAATCAACAATCTAAGAAGAACAATTACTCTAATCAAAGATCAAAGATCAAAATCCAATCAAAACAAATCAAACAAACATGAATATTAAACAAAACAATAAATGAGATAGAGTTTAGAAATGCTCATTGATAATAGAGAAGATCTCCAATACAATTGTCACCATTGAATCTTCAATCTCTCAATCACCATTGAAATTCCTCACTTTCTCTCTTTAAATCTACTCCTAAAACTAACCCTAAAACTAGAGAGAGAAGCTCTCAACTAAGCTAAGAATATGATCAAAATCTAATATGAAACTTGCTTCTAAACTTGCCCAAAAATCAGGTTTACATAGATATATATATAGAGGCGCGAAAACACCAAGAACCAAGCACAAAATACCCACGAAGGCGCGCCCGGGCAGCAGGGGAGGTGCGCCCGCGCACGCAAGGGGTGCGGCCGCGCCACCCCTAGGTGCGCCCGCGCCTCCCTGTTGTGCGCCCGCGCCTAGCTGGGTTCCTTCGAGATTCTCGCGGCTTGGTGGGTTCGCTAAGGTCGCATGACTTATGATGTTGATGAACACTAGGAGTGGCAGTAGCTAATGCTCTTGATTAGTGGGAACACCACTTCTTAATGGTAGCACGGCATGAGAGCGCAAGAGCCAAGACTTGGAATCTCCACTTCCTTGCATCTTGAGCTTTCCAAATGCCATGAGCTTGCTCCAAAAGCTTCCTCCACCTAAGTAGATCACCAATATCAAGACCCAAACCTCATACAATATTAACAACCACGAAAATAAAACAAATAAAGGAGAAAAGACTAGAAAACCAACGAAATACACGAAAGCTACAAAATAAGAGAGGAGAGGTAAAACTAAGAGCAAAAGCATAAAACAAAGCATTTATTGAGAAAGAAAGCTATGAAAAGAGGATTAAATCAACCTAAATGCTCATCAAATGGGTGCCATTTATGACACCCATCAATCATCTTCACCACAATCGGCCAACTGTCCACCTACAACAACACTCCTGCCCACAGAGGAAGGAGTACAGAATTGGGGTGCGTTGTTAACACTATGTGGTGTGCTGTTAGTCAAGGCCTCACCAACACTGCTCATAGGTAGAGCTGGTTTCACTAACTTCTTAATCTGTATTTCGAACTGTTGAAGCCCGTCAATAACCATTCTCAATGCCTTATCATTCTCACTTGCAAGACATGATATTGGCTCAAATGCAACCATCATTTTATCATACCGAAGAACTTCCTTAGTCTTAGACAGGTCATGGTGTGCGACTTTTACTCTAGTATGCTTGCGGTTAATATCTTTCCGCCATCTATTCAAAATGTATTTCTTCGGGACATCAGGGATTTGTTGGGACTCAAGGGCATTAATACAATGCCTGCAAGAATCCCATTGTACTCGACCAACATGCATTCACATTTCACATTCAACTTCTTCTATTTTTGCATTGTATAATACCTGGTAGATTCGCCACCGACCAATCGGTTTCTCCTTCTTCTCAATGTCACTGTAAATATAAACTCTGTCTTTGATAAGGTGCTCATACAACCCCTCTTCAATCTCCTTGATGTTGCTGCAATTACAGTACATCAACCTCTTACACTCCCGTTGCACCTCCACAAATTTCGCATCCGTATACACATTCCTAAATGTCTCTTCTATCTTAAAATCTGTTAGTAGGGTACGAAGATACATAACAGAATTCCCATCAGCCAACCGTTCTGCTTCAATGCGGTGTTCCATAGCCCTAACATATCTCTCAGCAAAGTCACATAGACCAGTATGCCTATCACAAAACTCATAAAAAAATTATGGATGCTCTCCGACCTCTGAGTGGTCTTCATTCCAGCCCAAAACATGTGCTTCATTGCTGCCGGAATCCACATTTCCCTCTCCGAATACAAAACAGCAAACCTCAAGTTACTCTCTAGCTTGTGCGTAGCTATAAACTCCTTCCACCTCAATTGGAACTCTTCCATACTTAAACTATCATAAATAATATTCTTCAGCTCATCTTTAAATTCAGCATACCCTTTACACTTGCCTAACTTGCTTCCAAATTTTTCAGTTATATGCCAGATACACCATCTATGCCGAGTCTATGGCATAACTTCCTTCAACGCCTAGCGCATGGCTGCATCTTGATCAGTCAAGATAGTTATCGGAGGAGTCCCCCCTACGACATCAATCCAAGTAGAAAACACCCACCTAAAATTCAATAAACAACAAAACCAAACAAATATCTCAGACAAATATTACATCCAAATGAAATACAATAACAAAAGTCAAAATTAAAAAAAAGTAAGAGATCACCTAACTTGAAGGTTTCAGTATTTTCACGAGAAATAAGAGCACAACCAAGCAAGGTAGTCTGACCGTGATGATTAACACCAACAAAATTTGCAAAGGGCAAATCATATTTATTCAATAGGAATGTCGTATCAAAACAAATAACATCCCCAAAATCTTCATAAGCAGCTCGACTTCGAGCATCGACCCACAAAACATCTTGAAGCACACCATTCTTATCCAACCGTTGCATGTGAAAGAAATTCTTGTTGTTAGTCTGCATCATTTGAAAGTACTTCATCATCGCATTTGCATCACCATCTTTAAATTTCAGCTTCTTCTCCCTTGCCCTTAAATTATGCAAGTCCTTCTTAGTGAAACGCATATTCTGTAGGCCATTCCTCTCACTAGCCATAAGGTTATGCATAGTTGAAGTGCTTATCCCAACATCATCAGCAAATTTTAGCCTTTTCCTAATATGAGGCATCCTCTCCAATTCTGCCATTCTATACTTTGGAACTAGCAATGCTTTGGAAGGGGTTGGATTATGATTCTTATGCTCCAACTCCACCTTCTTCAACTCCCATTTCCCATTCTCCAACAAACCAGCATATACCTTCACAAGACACCCACATTTTTTGGTCTTCTTCGTTGCTACGGGTTCCCCTTCTAACTCCCTTGCCAATCTTTTCCCACCAACTTTCCTCCTAGTACTTGGTTTACCATAACAGTCGCATTTCCATGTTGTTGCACGCTTAACCTTAACTCCCCCCACAACTTTATAGGCACTTTGTGCAAGCACAACCCCAAACCCTTGTTGCTTGCCATACGCATTGTAATACAAATCCGCTTCTTGGCAGGTATCAAAAATCATACCGACCTGAGGAACCTCCACGGTTACACAGTCCATGTTCACCATAGACTTGCACTCCTTCTCATCTGGAGTGCAATATCCTCCCCTTTCCCCACTCCCCTACTCCTCTACATAATCTTCTACATAATCCACAACCATTTTAGCTTCATCTTCACCCACTTCATCATCACCAATAAACATCAATTCATCTTCCTCATCCTCTCCTTTTTTCCCCCAACAAACAACCCTTAACTTCTCTTGACATTTACACCTATATTGGTGTAATTCAAGGCAAATTAACACAAACACAGGCATATTCCACAAATACAAGCCTATAATAACCATTCCCACAAAAACAAATAATTAATCAAATAAATCAGAAAGCTAACTAAACTAACTCAAAATCACATAATTAACTACCCAAAATCAGATAACTAACTACAAAATCACAATGATTTTCAAAAATTTTCCCCATAAAAAATACACATTTCTACAACAACATGATATACCAAACCAGTACAGCAACATAACTAGTCAAAAATCAATTATGTAAGCTTCAAAACTTTAACAAAAAAAAACAAACAAATTGGCAAGAAAACACTAATACAACAACAATTTAGCAACAAACACTAATTTAAAGGGACTAACAAATCAAAGATTCAACCTCGTTAATTGACTTAGCCAATCACTCAATCGCAAATTCACTACGCATACTCGAACAAAATAGACCCAAAAATCAGCTTCAGCTTAAGCAATCCACTTCACCTTCAATCGCAAAAATTAGATTTGTAACCCTAAACGTGCAAAAAATACTGCATATCAACATTAAAATTCCCCAAACAAATACCAACTCATGCTTGAATTGATAAAACATACCTGATTCGGAAAGCTAACAGTTGTTCTTCACAATTGAATTGCGAGGAGAAGTACTGCACAAGGAGAAGACATTGATGATAGCAAGGAAGAGTGCATAATGTGTTGAATTAGCCTTTCATTTCGTGGTTAAAGTGTTCAACGTGACACTGTTGATACAACGGAGTTAACAATACCCAAATATACTCACTTCATATAAAGATACAACTTGAAATACAACCGGGCCCCACAAATACACTAACTTCGTATTTTTTCCTCGTGCTATACATAGCACAATGCTGGGAAGAGAATTAGCCCTTGTCCCACCGCTTTATCCCCCTAGACAAACACCCTCCTAGAGTATTAGAGCCTTGGAGAGTTGGAGACGCATTAGTTATTGAACTTGGCGTGATTCCACTTCGGTAAAATCTTTCCCTGTTTCCCCTCTTTCGTCAATTACAGGTAATTTGTGAAGAAGCATATTCTTTCAAAAAAAAAAAAAATAAAAAAAAAAAATGGAGGGCGGCGAAGAGTTGAGCATCGAAGAACTTACTTCGAACATCTCTACCTACAAAGAGCAACTGCAGCAAGTAAATTCTTTTTCCAATTACTATGTTGTATAATTATTAATTATATTTTGCGATTTAGGGTTCATTGTAATTCGATTACGTGATTGTTGTGTTGTTGTTGGGATCAAATTAGGGTTGATATGTTAGTTTGTAGTTAATTCAATTTATCCTAATTGATGAGAGTGAATTGATTTATTGTGTATTGTAATTTTGGTTTCTATATGAACTATAATTGGGCATCAAATTTCAAGCTATCTCTTTTGTATAATTGGAGGGTTTTATATATTGGAATTACCAATGCCGGAATTAAATAGAAGATGATTTTCGTTGGACTTATAATTGAGGAATTTTGTTGTAAGCTTTTGTTGGAAACATTGATGACTTGCCTGTATGTCTTATGACTATAGTTGTAAATCTGTTTATTGCATTAGCAGGAGTGATAAGTAAGAGTTTTTGAAATTGTTGTTGGTGTTTCAAATCGTTTGTGGCTGAGCTTTCTGCTCCCATAGGCTAGAGAATCAAATATATTTTAGTTTGATTGTGAATTTCACGTCTTTTTATTAGTGTCTTCATATTAAAATCTGTTATGAATAACGCTGCATATTTGCGAAGTAGCTTCTTCCCAATTGGTGACATGGATAAGATAAGAGGCGTAGTATACAATGTAATTATTCAGCTTCTTAACTCTTAAGAAGCAACAGTCCTACAAATTTTAAAATAGTATATGGACTCTCATCTATGTAAGTGGTAACCAAGGTTCTTAATTTCCGCTTTTTCTTGGGTAGCCATTGAGTTCATTTCTTTTTACAAGTAATGGGGGTTTCATAGTTTGCATCATGATGAAATAAAATATTGAGTCTTACTTTGGTCTCTAATCTGGATGTTGCGTGCTTTAAATGATGAGTTCTGACGGTATATATGTTAGTTTAACTGCTTGTTCTTTTCGTCTTTAATTAATACTCCCTCCGGCCTCCCTTCCTTGATAATTGCCACACTTTACGTTTTGTCCTCAACTTTGACTATCAATATTTTTAATTTTATTAGTAAAAATAATGACTTGATATTTTAATAATATATATTAAGATAAATCCAACAACTTATTAGCCTTTTATTTTATATAATGGCAAAAATAGATGGTCAGAATTATACTATTATTTTCTACATTAATGCATGAGATTATTTTTTGATATATATTTTTCTTTGCAATGTCAGGTTAAATTGCTTTTGGAAGATGATCCAGGGAACTCTGAATATAAGGACATGGAAAAGGAACTTGAAGAGGTGATCATAACCCAAAACTTCTGTTGATATCTACCCAAACACTCTCTCTCTCTCTCTCCTTTTGTTTTATTTGTGTTATTGGTGTATTTTAGTTTTGATAAAAATTATTTAAAGTTCTGTTGATGATATTTTAGATCTAGATTTTTCTTGTTTCAATTTTACTTTAATTGTTAGATTGAATTTTTATTGAATGAGGATTTCAATATTGTACTAGCCGTGGTATATTATTAAGAGAGGAGTCTATTTTTTTGCGGCTGGTCTGCTACAGAATTTGGGGTATATTGGTAAAATGTGCTGGGCCTTATTTTTAAGGGATCTAATTTACCTTTGTGTTTATTCTCCTCTTTAAGCTTTTGATGGGTGTGAGAAATTAGAGAGGCTTATTGCAGACTTTTTTTTTGGCAGGGCATTGGGTAGGTGTAGAGAAGAGGAATCATCATTTTAGTTAAGAATAGGTTTTAATTCTAAGGAAGAATAAATCTGTAATATAGTAATTTGATTTTTATTAGGTGGTTGGTTGTTATATATATAGGGACCGAAGGGTATATTCTCTTTAATTTAATATTTTTTTTTGGCATGGTGTAGAAAAATACAATAGTAATGTGTAAAAGTTCTTGGAAGTTCATCCACATATTTCATTTTTTTGGTCAAGGTGGGTAATGAAGAGTAAATTGTTATTTTGTAAGGATTCGTCAAGTAGGAGAATTTTTTTCCCTCACATACTTCAACTCCATTTTTTTTAATGAGAGATGATGAGTGCTATTGTTTGAAATTTTATTAAAGGAGTTACTTTTAGTATTGTGAATTGTCACAGCTTATTTATCTGTCAGGCATCGGTGATTTGGTTTTTTTGTCTGATTCTAATGAGGAGAGTTTGGTTAGTTGATTCCTCTAGATCCTTTCCTTGTCATTTCTTTTATGCTATTAATAAACTCTAAATTCACAACTTTTTCCCTTCTAATTTAGCTAAAAGGATTAGGCACTTAAGTAGATGACTGATTTTATTTGGGTTTCTAGTTTGGAGGAAATGCAATACTTGTAATCTATCATAGATTTGGAGATAAATCAATTCTTTATCTACTTATGTGTGCTATGCCATGCCATTGTTGTAATAGGCCGGTAGGTCTTAAGGTTGCTGCGTTAGCTTTTCTGGCTCATTTGCACGTTGTTTGTATGAAATTAGGAAAGTGTCAGGGGCATTAGTTGTGGCAAAATTCTATTTTGTTGCTATTAAATGGTTTCTTTGGTTGGAGAGGAACATTTTTGTTGTGGTTGGCAATTTTTGTGGGTTTCATTTATAGGATCTAGTGGTATTTTTAAGTTCTGTCTGGGTTCTTGCTCATGTGGTATTAATGCCAGTGTTCCTTTGTATTGTAATGTGAGATTGGGGATGATTTTTAAGTTATGGACTGGTGGTTCCCTTATTTATTTATTTATTTATTTTTTATTTTATTTGTTTTATGATAATTTTGATTTATATTCATATATATACTACCTGGTTTATTGATAATCAGGAAAGTCAAAATTATTAATGAGGAAGGGTGAAGGGATGGGCAAGATGCTAAGAAAGGAAAGTATGAAATAAAATGTGAATTTCTTCATTGTTTAATGTTAAAAACGGTTATTGTGGATCCAATGGTAGAAGCAAAAGTATACATACAATGACCGTACGTCCGTACAGATGTAGGACGGAAAATTTATTTTAATTTGTTAATAGATTGTAAAAGGGTATGGGCTTTAATTTATAATAGCGTTCTCTTTATACTCAAAATTCATTGTGTATTTTGATCAAGTTTTGAAATACGATGTAAGTATGTAATTCAACAAGTGACAAAAACAAGCTACTTATAGTTGGTTTTTTTCTTGTTGCTTGTTTTAAAGGTATTACTGTTTTTGATCTAGTTTGGCTCATATCATAATAATAGGCAGCTGTAATGGGAGTAGAGAAATGGCTAGAGATGTGTAGATTGTTAGAATTTCATCCAGATGCCCATCACTTCTATCTTGGTTTCTGTGCAGGTCTGCTATGTGTTGGATGTTTCACCTCTGCATACATCCTCATGATTTCAGTCTTTCAGGAGTTGACCCCGATTTTCTAAGTTCGGAATTTAACAGTTGTCTAGGCCTAAATTATATCTCTGTATAAATTTCTTATACTGAGTATACTTTATCTTTCAGGTGATTGCTCTGACCGAAGAGCTACTGGAAACTACAAAGCAAAATGAGAATTTTGTTTCTGCTATCAGCACAAATGCAAGTAAATCTGATACAGTACAGGAATCAAATAGAATATCTCAGTATGAAATGGTAGTTCTCTCTCTCGCATGCACGCACAATCAATTTGAAGTTCCTCCATGAGACCAAAGGCTAAATAAAACAGTATATACAATGTGACCAGAAAGTAATAACATACATAAAATAAAGCCCCTGATATTTAGAACATCCATTTAGTGCAAGAAAGACAAAACAATAATGTTCTGCAATAAAGACAGCTGCTTCACCAAGAACAGATACACGATTTATAGACATAACCATAAAGTTCTGCAATATCTGTATTCTGTAATATGTAGGATAAATGGTTTTCTTTTTTTATTTCTTGATCACTCCGGGTCATGCTTTATTGTTGCTCATCCAAATTTCTATTGCTCTAGATCTAATTGTATCTGCACAATCTTCAGCTGTTTTTAGTATTACATCGTGCCTTGTGTTAATGCTGAAGGTGTCGCTTCTTCATTTTCAGGATTCCATAAACATGTTAGATAGAGAGGACAGGTTCCCTGTTGGGACAAAAATTCAAGCAGTTTGGAGTGAAGATGGAGAATGGTAAGAAGAGGCAGCATCATGTGTTAAGTAGGATATAATTGCTTTTGCTGTTTGTTATACCCTTTGTTTCTGTGTTTGATTAGTTAAATGTTCAGGTATAATGCAACTGTTGAGGCTTGCACTCTGAATGGTTATTTTGTTCGCTTTGATGAATGGGGAAATAAGGAAGAGGTATTTTCCTGATTTGACTTTGAGAATTGTTCCTAGTTATGAATATGTTATGCTGTGATGCTTCTAATACATCTCGTCATTATGGAATTCATGGCTTCTTGATGTGTCACTGTATTGAAGATCACTTGTTTATTTTTTGCAAAAAACATGATTTTTACCCCAGAAACTGGTCCTGTGCCCAATACTGCTTGGGGCCTCAAATTCATCATATGTATACAAGTTGTTGTAGAGATGATTTAGTATAATCGTTGTGGTTCAGCAGTAAATGTGTAGCTTCAAGTTCTTGTAGGTGCATGATTCGATTCCCATTATTTTTTTTCCAGATTTTTTTTTATTATTTTATTATTTTATTACTACGTATTTTTAATCAAAATCTATCCAAACTAAGGCCCCGTTCACTTCACTTTATTTTTGCTGAACTAAAATTATTTTTATTGAGTTGAAATTATTTTTAGTGAACTTAAATTATTTTTACTGAAATGAAATTAATTTTACTAAACTGAAATTATTTTTGCAAAACATGAAATTATTATTACTGATTTTCTATTATATTTCTTATTTAGGTTTATTGATTTTTACTTAACTGAACTTATTTTTACTAAAATGAAATTAATTTTATTGAACTGAAATTAGTTTTAGCGAATATTATTTTTTAAGGTGAAGTGAATAGGGCCTAAATAGTCAGTCATACATGTACTACTTATTTAAAGGCTTACGTGTGTAGATACTTATTCAGCTTTAAATTAAAGCACTACTTTTTTAAAGGTTTAGATACTCTCTTCATTTGTTTAATGTGTGCTTTATTTTTCATTTTTGGATATTTTTTAATTAATTATTTCATTCCCATATTTTGGAAGATTTTAACAATCTTATAATACTTTCCTCCTAAATAATGTCCCCCGACTCAATTTCATTTTTTGAAAATATCCTTCTCTCTCTCATCCCTACAGTAACCTACTAATTCTTTTATGATTTTTATTTTATTTTATTTTTGTTTTCAACATATTTCCGTTAAATAATACTCCATCCTTCCCTTAATACATAGCCTCTTTAGGTTTTTGTGCGGAAATTAAGAAAGTTGTAAATTTTTTAAAACTAATGATTAAAAGTACATATGTGCATGTGGGGTTAGAGAGAGATAGAGAGAAAGAAAAAGTAGTTGAGAATAATTGAAGAGAGAGAGAGAATGTGTTGGGAATTGGTGTTAAAAGTACAAAAAAGTAAAAGAATAAAGATGACAACTCATCAAAAAGAGGGTAATAATGTAAAAAAAAAACATTTAAATAGAAAGAGGCATTGTATTTTGGTTTACCCAAAAAGGAAATGAGGCTTTGCATTGTGGGACGAAGGGAGTAACTTAAAAAAAATTCTTTTTTTTTTTTTCTAAACCTTTGCGAAAGTCAAAGAGGAGCATTTATTAAAAACCAAGAAGTATTAAACATCTCATTGAAAAGAGGACCTAAATTTATCTCAATTGCACAGGGCCTCCATGTAAGTTGGGACGACCCTGTCTAGAAATATGGTCTACGTTTATTTGTTTAGGTCCGGATGATAATTTTTTGAGACAGTATGTAATGATATTATTTAATTTTTGGGCTAGAGAGTGCAGCCAAGCACTAATGGAAAACTGTTGCGAAAATTATAACATAAAGAAAGCCAGCCTTAAGATATTTGTGGTGTTAAGAATAGATTAAACACAGTTTCATGTGGCTAGCCACACCGTGTGGATGGGGTTACTTGATCAGGGGTTACCCGGTAAGTGTTTTGGTGTGTGTATCAGCCGGCCACACAGTGTGGCCTACCACACAGAAAACGCGTTGTAGATTAAATTGCATTCCTGGTGAAGAGTAGATGTGTTACAGTTAATGGGTTGCATACATCCCAGGCTGCAAATCAGTAGAGTTTTAGTTTGGTTGTTTGGATCGGAATACATATATTTGTATATGAGCTCCATTTAAATCTGCTTTTTGAGCTATGTTATTTGAACACTTAGTTTTAAAAGGCCGACCTGGTGCACCTCATAATTCAATACTCATATTCAGTTTATACTTTGACTTAAAACTTAAGAGCAAAACAACTTGAGCTTGAAATAGCATACTTGCAAATATTTGGCCAATATTTTGTTGTCCTCATAACTGGTGTGAGATGTTTTACTTTAAATTCTTCAATATGCAACATTATAAACTGTAAATTTCAACCTTTTTTTCAAAGGCCTCAAACTACCTAGCTGCTTGGCTCATGAAATTAGTTTCTTAAAAGTTGATGTTATAAATGTAATAACTTATATTTTCGGTGAGATGGGCAAATAGAATTGGAAATGGTGCTTCCTTTCTTAACCAGTGATTTCAGTGAGATGGGCAAATAGAATTGGATATGGGCAAATTTCAACCTTATAGTTCCTGCTAGTGAATACCGCATGATTTATTGATTTCAATTCCCAGGTTGATCCTGCAAATGTCCGATTACTTCAAGGTCACGATGATGCAGGTGTTGATGCTTTATTAAAGGCAGAGAAGGAAGCAGAAGCTACTAAACAGGCCTTGAAACGAAAAATTGCACAAGCAGCTGCTGGTGACTTCCAGTCAAGAAGTTTACCGGCAAAACTTCGTATAAATCCTGATGACCCTGAAGACGTGGTGAGTATTGGATATGGTGTTTCCTTTCTTAACCAGTGCTATTTGTTTCTGCATTGCTTTTTTTAATTAGTTTTTTGGTGGGTCAAGGGTGCTCCCTAGCCGAGCTTACAATTTAGGCTAAGCTGCATAGTTTCATTTTGGTTATGATCTGGATAGAGTGTACGAAAGGCAACAATAACATAGCATTCTTAAAGAAAAGGCGGGAAATGAACTTCGGCCAAACTGGCTGATCAAGGGGCTTGCTCAGTATTTCGTGGATCAAAGATCAAACCCCCTCTGAATTGTAAACCAAATGGACCCCCTAAACACAATTGGGTCGAATATTTTAATTACAATTATCCAAAATTCCTTTCCCTCTATCTCGTTTAGCTTGTCCCAATCTTTTGTACTATTCTCTAACTTTGATCACATGGTATACATGAATGCATCTCTCTCTTTATACCTATTAGCTCCGATAAGCCACTTCTAGAAACCTAGATCTTTGTGAAACCATTAATGAAACATGTGTTGGCTTTTCCACAAACTTCCTTAACACTGCTTTGCGATGGCTTTAATCTTTTACCAGCTTCGCCAACAACCTTTCCCAACACTGTCATCTTAATACTTCCATACTTGAACTTTATAAGACTTTCCAAGGTTTCATGGTAGTTAAACCTCAAATCCTGGGTGTGTCATACGAATCTAATATTGTATTACATGACTATATTTTTTGTATATATTAATGAGAATATTTGGTCAATGCTTTTAAGTTTGACCTTGAATATGGAAACGAGTAATGTTATTCACTGTGATTCTCATTACACACATTGGTACATAAAAGGGAGTTCCTTCCATTGTTGATAAAAAAAATTGTCTTTCGTCATTGGTATAACAATTGGCTCTATTTTTCAAAACTGATTATCGGAAACTTTAAACCTAAATCAATGTGGAAACACTAGTGTCTCTCTGTTTCATGTACTTTGTATTCTTTTTATTAATCCACTCTTTATTAACCTTTAGGTAATGTGGACAGTAAACTTACCATTCTCAATTTGTAGTAGGTAGTGAACAATGTATGAAAAAGCTCTAGCCTCTAGGCACACTAAAGAGATAAAGGTACTAGACACTCCAGTTTGAGCACATAGTTTTATGGAAGAATGGAAGATTAATTGACTAGTAATTTTTTTGTGAAAGTTGGTAGTGGGTAATTTTTTTACCGTAATTAATGGGTTTTGGAGACCATTACTTGGTGAGTGTTGATTTCCTTATTGTTTTCATAGCAGTACTCCAAAAAAGTATTACCCATACCTTTTCTTATTTAGGGTAAAAAAATAAAATAAAATAAAAGTAGAAGTGTGTTACCTGGATAAGGTTGACCCTTAAGAAAGTGTGTCAACATAATTCATGATTAGATCATTTAATCCGTAGGTTCTCGAATCCTCCACTGAAATTGACGTTTCCAATAGAAGAAAGTGTCTCCAACTACCTTCTCCAACCTCTCCTTTGGGATCAAATAAATATCCGTACTCCAAATTCAGTGAGAGTTGAATAATTTTGAGCTAAGAATAATGGATGCAATTTCATTTACACTATGTTTCAATACAAGGAAAGAGTGGAAAAATAAAAAAGAAGGGAAAGGGAGGGTGATAGTTTCTATTGTTTAGATAACATTTGTAGGGGTTGAGATACATTGAGGGGAGGAAAATTTTCCATTGATTATTTAAGAATAAATTCTTTTTGAATTTTGAAAGATTGGAAGGAAAATAAATTATTCAAATTGAATTATAATGATAATACAATTTTAAACTTTCATTTTCTAAACAAATGCTACGTTTCTGCGCTGCTCTCGATTTTCCCCCCATTTATATTCTCAGTTTTTCATCACAAATTGGAAACTTTGAAACTCCATCACGAATCAGAAACTTCGAAACTCTAACCCTACACTATGTTTGGATAATAATAGTGACGGGAAAAAGAGGGAAGGGAAAGGGAGGTGAGGAGAGGGAAACAAAGAGTGATGCATCCCTCGTCTTCTCTTCTCTTTCTTTCCGTTTCTCTCTATTTAAACATAGTGCTAATTTCCAATTTCATAACCTCAGCATCACTAGAATTCCCTCCTTTTCTCTTTATCCAAACATAGTGCTAGTTTCCAATTTTGTTGCTAACTTGAATTAATAGAATTTATTGATGAGAGTGCTACATTTTATTTGATAACTTGTGTTGATTTGTGCAGAAAGCAGCAAAACGTAAGAAGATACACTCATTTAAGTCAAAAGCTCGATTTGAGCAACTTGAGGTGACTCAGAACAAACGTCAAAATGCTTGGCAGCAATTTCAAAGTACAAAAGGCCGTGCGAAGAAGGTATTATATGACTTTTATTTGTTTTGGTTGCTTGTATCTCCCTGCTGCTGCCCCTTGTTGGAATTTGGGTTGTCTCAGTCTTAGTCTTAGTCTGGCGGATCATCTAATGGGTCTGCTCAATTATCATCTATCTTTAATTATCTGTGTAACTCCACAAGTTGAACACTTGCCTCCTGCTGGTCTTTCACTATTGTGCTTCTATTATAAACCTAGAATAATCCAAATACTTGGCAGCAAGGTGCATAATGATTGTATGCTAAGTCTGCCTTGGTTTATTTTTGTAGTTTTTGATTGACTGGGGTGTAGTGGGGGTGGGGAGGACTGACAAAGTATAAAGTGATAGGGCTATCAGGTTGGTTGAGCTAAAAAAAAGACCAGATTATCCTTTTCCTTTTTTCTTTGTGTTGAATCTTTCAGATTTAATTGTTCTCTTTCCTGCCAACTGGTTTTCATGCAATATATTTCATATAACTAGGGCGGCTCATGCACGATGCACGTGCCATAGCTAGCCTTATTCGTGGAGCTCTTTTAGTTTGAAATTATGTCAGAAATTTAGTTGCTAGCAGCATTAGAGAGAAAATATATAAACAAATATTTTTAGGGTATAAATGTCTATACACAATTATTATAAACTTAACAAAAAAGGGAAAATTGAGTTTATAAATCTCAACTTTGGACGATTTACAATGAAAAATCCCAACTATGCATTATTTCTTAAAAGTCCCATCTTTAATACCCATCTTCTTTTAAAGATCCCACCCAGATGACTGGCTACCTAAAAAGAAGGTTAACTCTTTTTTTTAAAATAAAAAATTTGCCACTTGTCAGAATTTTAGTAGTCCAAAAATAAAATTAATTGTTTTTAAAAAAATCTGATTTATTCAAAAAAAAAAAAAAACCAACCCAGCCCCCACCCCGGACAACAACCCACCCTCACCCCGCCGGAAAATCGGCCCGCACCCCCAGAAACCCCCTCCCCCACCGCCGGAAAACGGCGCCCACCCCTCCCCCTCCCTCGAAACCCACCCCTTTCCCTCCCCCTCACCCTTGCAAAACCCTCCCACCCTAAATCGGAAAACACCCCTCCCAAAACCCCCACCCTCGAAATTGCCCCCCTCCCTTCCCCCACCCTCCCGGTGGTGGAGGTGGGCGATTTTGAGGGTGGAGGTTTTAGGAGGGGGTGTTTTCCGGTTTAGGGTGGGAGGGTTCCGCGGGGGTGGGCGCCATTTTCTGGCAGCGGGGGAGGGGTTTTCGAGGGTGGGGGCCAATTTTCCGGCGGGGGTGGGGCAGGGGTAGGGTGTTTTTTCTGGAAGGGGGTGGCAGCTGCTTTTATTATTATTATTGTTATTATTATTATTAGTTATTTTTTAAATTGATATTTTTTTAGTTTTTTAATTTTTTTGACCAATCCCGTGTTGACACGTGGATTGTAACTTGAAGTAAAAGATTTGGTGACTTGTTGGGATCTTTAAAAGAAAATGGGTATCAAAGTTGGGATTTTTGAGGGATAACGAATAATTGGGATTTTTCATAGTAAACCGCCCAAAGTTGGGATTTTTAAACTCAAATTTTCCAAAAAAAAAAAAAACTATAATTAATTAGGACAAATAAGTATATAAACATTTTTAAGGGTATGATTTTGCTACTGTTCATAAGAGTTTGTTTAAAATTTTTAAAATGTTAGGGATTTACTTTGTAGTAGATATTTTGTTCCCTCTTCCTATCACTTTGTTTTGTTGTATATTTATCAATTTTATTTGCCTTCATTGGCCAAGTGCAGTTACAAATGTGCATGTCCAGTGTCTTGAGGGGTGGGTACTAATTTGGTTCTCTTTTTGGCGACTAGGTTGGTTTCTTCTCAGGGCGCAAAAAAGAAAGCATTTTCAAGTCCCCTGAAGATCCACAAGGTAAGGTTGGAGTGACTGGAAGTGGAAAAGGCTTGACAGATTTTCAGAAACGGGAGAAGCACCTGCACCTCAAGGGAGCTAACATAGACAACGAAAATGGTGAAGCTGATGATTAAGCCTTTCATGGCTTTGTATTAAGCAACTTGTATTTATTAACCAGAGTATGAGTTAGGATTAGGCTCTTGATTAAAATACTTTCATTGTGTTATTTGCTCTTATAGGTAAAAGTTCCAAACTTTCAATTTTATGTTACGTTGAAATGTAGCTATTACTGAGTATGACTTTTGGAATTTGTTTTCGCTTGTGTTGAATTTGGTATAAACTCCAATCTTTCTGTGTAACAACTCCTGCTCACTAATAATCATATTGAAGATGCATGAATGCTTGATGTTATACGCAGTTTCTGCATATTATTCTTGAGGACAAGTTGCACTGCGTATGGTTTTAACTTTAGATTTGGCCCATAAAAACGGGTTTGTTTGACATTATTTTTTTGTTTTCAGTTTTATGTTTTTTTTTTAAAAACAAGAAAGGGAAATTTTTTTGGGTGAACTTCAATTTTTTAATTTTCTAAGTGGTAAACTTTTTAATAAAGTATTATTAATGGTAAATTTTAATTAGCTTTACTAATGCATTGGTAACCTTAATGAGGATTTTATGTAATTATTTGGCTAACTCTACTACTTAACTACAGTACTAATGACTAATATCACCTTAAAAAATTAGCTTTCCCTCCAAAATGAATTCCTTAATTCCCTCCTAAATGATTCCCCTAATTATCCTATTTATATGAACCCTAATTTACTAAAATCAATTCATTTCTCTCTTTGTGATCAGCAATTTCCCTCAATTTCAATGAGAAATTCTTGCTCTTTTACTGCTAGGAAGGCTATCACCATGGATGATAACATTGCGTGGGTGAAGCATATTCGTTGCGGCTGTTCTTCTGCCAGTTTGTTGTTGTGATGATTTAAGAGACAACGAAAAACCCACGAAGATTGTTCTTCAAGTGCAGAACTTGCGATTTCTTTGCGTGGTTGAAGGAAGGGGACATAATTAGAGCAGGCGAGGAAATGGACGTTGAGCAAGGTGGTAGTGTTACTGTTATTGATAGGCTAGATGAGTGGATGAATTTTATCAAATTAATTGTGAGGGTGGCCGTAATTATTATTTTGTTCCATTTTTTTTTGGTAGTTGCTAAGTGATAATTTCGGTTTTTAGGAGGGGGGGGGGGGGGTTTACGGTTTTAGGAATTATGGTGTATTAAAAGAACAAATCTCAACTTATAAACTGCATTTTAATGAATATAAGCACTATGTTTGCTCTATAAGATTGTCTGCAATTTCTTGTAATATCCAAACTTTTGCTTAAATTATCCAAAAAAAAAAAATGTAATGTAATACAACTTGACATTTATGTTGAATGCAACTGAGCACAAAAAAAAAAAAAAAAATCAGCATTTATATGCATTATGTTGTCGATCATAAACTTGAAGCATCTCATACATGTCCAAAAAACAACCAAACAAAAGACCAAGTGTTATAAGTTAGAATTTGGTGCCATACAAAACAAAATTTTATCCATTTCCTAGAGTTGGATTTAAAAAACAAGCAAGACATTATAATTAGACTATGAAATGCATAAACTAACAAGCCTGTGATGCTGAAACTCCTTTCTTTGCCATGGTTCTTGGTGATTGTCTTAGTGGCTGTGATGAATATGACATTGTAGCAGGATCTGGTTGTTCAAACTAATTCCTTTCTTTTGCTTTAAGGCTTGCTTTGGTGTTTTCCTTGTTGTTTGCTTCCCCTTAGCTTGAGATGTTCAAGCTGCTCCAAATTTATCCTTCTCTTTCGTAGTAATTCCACCTTGACATGTTTGTGCATTGTGCCTAAAATGTTGGCATTTGCTACATTTCACAATCTTAGATATCTTCCCCTTAGCCTACTCATTTTGTTCACTTTTGGTTCCTAGCAGGCCTCCCTATCCCTCTTTTCATTAGTGGCGGACCTATCTCTTCATAATGGATATCAGGCCATTGCTCTACATCAACTATGACTTTGATGGTGTTTGCTTAGGTGAGCTTGTATCAGAAGCGGTATCAGAACCTCGCTCATTTATTTTTAAAATCATAATATTTTTCAAGGTGTTTTATGGCTTAATTTTTCCGGTATTAAGTTGCTAATTAGATTAGTAGCTTAATTATTTTAACCTCGTATGAGAGCTGTCTTCAGCTCCCGAACCCAGATTTTGACCCAAAATAGTGAATTTTGGGTGGAAAAAACGACCAGAATTGCACTTTTTGAGGGATTTTTCGTTTTGACGAAAAATTTTAAGTCTTTCTAACCTTGAAAATTAATTGCATATTTATGGTGGTTATGTACTTGGTTCAATACATATTTTACATGCAATTTTAAATCTCTTTAGGCATGATTACTTGGTGGTAATTTGTGTTTGAAAGCTTGGTTTTATTTTTTACATAATTGCAAATTAATTGCATTAAGTGTGAAATTGTTGTTCTTTGAGGTTTCTAAGTACTAAAGATTCAATCTTTAATTATGTTAAGTGATTGAAACTTTAAAAGCTACTAAATTCCATGAATTTTATGTTGAACTTTGTTGTTTTAATCATTTTTTGTTGATTGGAAACATAAAGTTTCAAACTTTGTGATAGAAATTTGTTTATCTTCATATTGGAAGATATAATTTTTCAAGGATTCACAAATGTTAGTAGTTGGATTTTTCATTTGAACATTAAAGTTCATATTTTTCCAACTCCCTCTTACTTTGTCAAAAATCTCAAGATTAATTTAAATTGATTAAATTAATAATGAGAAAATGCCTTTTTTTTTTGTTGCACCAAGTTAAACCAATTTAATTAAAGAATGGTTCTTGGGAATTATTTTGGTTAGATGCACTTTGAAAATTTTATTTTAAGTTAGACTTGTTTAAATTTTCAATTTTACTCATTGAATTAGTTCTAAAATTAATTTAGAATTAATTATAAAGTCACGCAAAATTTGGGATCAAATCCCGAGGCTATGGCATGCAAAACCAAGGCGGAAACACCCTTGGCTAGTCGGGCTGCATAGCAGCCCGCATGTGGCTGCCAAGGGGCTTCCATGGTGTTACGTGCAGCCACAACCATGGCTTGTGCGCACAGCCGCAAGCAGCAGCACAACAACAGTGTCATAGCAGCAGCAACACGCTGCCACGGCTTGGTGCGTGCGTGCGTGCTATGGTGCGTGTTGTGAGGACTGTTGTGGTGCGGGTGATGGTGCACGTGCATCGTGTTTTTGTACTTGGTGCATCCATCATGTGTCGGGGCTATGCCGTGGTAAATGTGGCATGGTGCACATGTATTTTGGCAATTATTTTGCAATTTTGCCGTTTTATTTATTTTAAGGCAATGCTATTTTAAGAGTTAATTAGTGCGTTGCAAAATATGGGTAATATGCGTAGAATTTGCTTGCGAAGCAATGTAGTGCAATGAGTTCGTACAACATGGCCATCAAGGGCCACGTTATTGATGCATGAAAGTTCGCTGATGTGGGCGGTGTAACGCTTAGCAACATCGGGCCCACTCCCACGTTCATTGAGCATCAAACGATTGTGCGGGGTGTGAGCACTACAAGTCTTAGTGCTAGGCACTTAGACATTTTGGACTACATAACTTTTTACTTAAATTGTCATTTTAATTATTTTATTTATTTAATTAAAATTTTGGAGGCCAGCCCTCGGTTTTTTAGTGCCATTTTCAAAATTTAATTTTGAAAAATATTTGGGTTTACCGACTTAATTAATTGGATTAATTAAGTTGGATGCGGAATTTAGTGGGAGCTTCATTTATTATTTTCTTAACCGGTTAAAACAATTTTGACTAGTTTTAATTAGGCGTGTTAATTGGATTAACCACCTAGATGAGTTACTAGTTCTCGCGTATTTATGCATTGTTGTTTATCGTTGCAAAATGCATGGGCCATTCACAGATAGTGAATGGATGAATGGAATGTATATTCTCTCACAGGTTTTATGAAATGGCAACTAGTGGGGCCCGATTAGGATAGAAAATATGGACTGTGATCCGTGATGTATTTTTGTAAATCTAAATACGGTCTGCGAACCGTTGAGTATTTTTGTACCTTAATATTTAGATTAGTCCTAATCCTAGATACTAGTAGTTGCATTTATTTTTGGTCAAGTCTTGGAAGACGAAGCCATGAAGTTGCAAATGAAGACCTTTTGAAGATTTAAAGATCTGAAGGGGTCATGCTAGTTTCCAAATGCATCTCTATTTATGTTTTTCGATATATATATGTTTATGTCTATGAATTATATGTTAGATGCATGTTTAGGATTTCGAATGCTGTGATGATTAATTAAGTTCACTTAAATCAACCAACATAGAAAGAGCCCTCTACACTGTCGGTCTTGGCTTTGAAGATGAAAAGGTGGAATTAAACAAGCAAGTTGTGGAAATTGAGCCTACAGTAAGTGTTCCGTCAGATCGAGTTGCAAGTGCTAAATGTATTGACAATCTGAATCAACCATCGATCGAAAAGGGATCTTTAGTGCGTAGCATTGAAAAACCCCCGGTCCAAGTCAAGGAGGATCCACTAGATAAGGTGAATTGGCGTCTCCCAGGGTATGTCAGGAAGTCGCGTCATGGCCTAAACATCGCTCGGCCGGGTGAGAAACCACCCGACCAAGCGTTAGGCCAAGGGCTTAGTTCTTATACTTGGTAAGAAGGTCGTGCAGGACCTAGATAAACCAGGGCTTTGCGGGAGGCAACCCATATTTTAATGCTTTTTAGACTAGTTTTTCTTTCTTTTTCTTGTGAGAGGAGTGAGGAGAAAATTTAATGAGTTTTATGAGTTTTTGTACAAGTTTGAAGGAAAAAAAATAGCCAAAAATTGAAGAAAAGAAGAAAGACAAAAATCGTCCAAGTTAGCCTCGGGCCCGAGGGTAAGGGTTCAAAAAGCTTAATTTTCGCTCAACCAGGCAAAGGTCCGCTCGACCGGGCGCGAGATTTGACGTATACGGTGATTTAGATCAGCCGACCGGGCGCGAGAGTAGAAGAAATTTTGGGCAACAGATCGCCCGACCGGGCAAAGGTCAACCCAACGAGGCGCGAGAGCAGCGTAAAATAAAAACCCAGATCGCCCGATCAGGCTTTAGTCCGCCCGACCGGGCGCGAGACCAGCCCCGTATTACTTCTTCTTCTTCCTCTCTTCTTTTCTCATTTCTTTCTCTTTCCTCCATAACTTTCTCTCTCTAAAACCTTAAAACCTCTATCTTCTCTCTAAGTTTTCTTCTCCATCTCTTACCCAAATCCAATAATTTTTACATATTCTTAATCCTCTCTTCATCCTCTACATTCCTACATAAAAATTTTCAAGTTTCAATCAAATATTTTTCATA